CCCCAAAACCCCAAAACCCCAAAACCCCATCAGAATTAATTGTCAAAAGTAAAACTGATAAAAATTATTTAATCAAAGTTAATGTAGTTATAAACTATAAGCTAAATTTAGGAAAAAAATATGATGTTCTCAAAAAAGAAAAATAGAGTGTAATAGTAAATATAATCATTTTTCTGAGTCGGAATTGGAGTTCAAGCATTAATTTTTACTACCATTAGACATATCATCCCATTCCTAATCGACATTTTTCTTTATTTCTAGCATTCTTTCAGATCGATTTGAATTATTTTATTATCGCAAATTATTGGAAGGTAAATCATTAATTTCTAAATTTTTTCTCAAATTTTAGGCAGAATTTGATGGTTACTTTGGTATAAAAGCTTCATGTTTTTCAATATTAATCTCAATTATATTTTTATTTCTCTGATTTTGCTAAAGCTAATTAGTTTTACTCATTATCTAGTTATGATTTTATGCAAGATCTTATTATTAATCGAGTTCTTTTTAGTTTGTTGAATCATTTGTGTCTTTCTATTCTTGTGTCGCTGTTGCTTTTGTTTTATCTTGTGATTTTTCCTCAGTTTTCTAGGCTGATTTTACTTATGAAGTATCATTAATCTCTTTTTCGATATTTTATTCGTGCTTTTCTATAATAATTTCAATCCTACGTCTTTATTCTATTTCTTTATCTACATTAGCAGTTTATACATTATGCACTTTAGCATTGATTTAAAGGTGCTTTGTAGACATACATAATGCAGATCTAATATTTTAGCATATCAGTTTAGAAGTGAATTCCCCACCAAGCAAGCTATAAAGAACTATGATTAGAATATACAAGGCAAGTGGTAGCACTATCATAATACCTGTAATAGCAATAGCCAAGTATCCTGATGAAAGTTATTATTCACTGAACTTCACTTTTTCACTGTTCAGGATTCAATTTTCACATCTCTCTCCTTCAAAATTAAGAGAGCATATACAATTTCCATTAAAACCACACTAGGCTCCATTTAGGCAATAGCTAATATTAGTGCTGCAAGAATCAAGTGTATTAATGTTGCTTATTGTAATTACTAGGATAAATGCCATTACTGAGGTACTATTTTTCATGCAGATGATAAATTGAATTTAAAATTTTCTCTATAAATTTGATTTATTGATTATAAAACCTTAAAAAAATTCCAATATTATAGATAATTCAAAGATTTCTCTCATGGGGTTTTGGGGTTTTGGGG